CAGGAAAAGAGAAAGGGATTCAGCGGTGGCCCAAGGTACTGAGCTGGGCCCTGCCCCCGGGAGTATGTACGACTGGCATCATTGGCTCATTCACTAGGAAAGCCAGCTGCCAGCCCAGCAACCGGCATGGCCTCCCTCTACTTTACAGGGGAGGAGCCTGAGAGAGGCAGAGGCTCGCAGGTGACCAAGGTCACAGGCCATGATGTGGCGCCAGGCCAGGCTTGTGTGAACCACAGCCTGTCCACTCCCGGCCCTCCTGGCCATGTCTGCAGGCACCACAGGCCTAGTTTGGAGGACAGCCAGGTCCCACTGCCACACTGTCCCACCTGCCCCAGTGGTGCTGGCCCCTGGGTAGAGGCCCCATCCTAGGCACAGTGGGAGATGGGGGTGGGGGCTCCAGCTTCTCAGCTGGTCAGGGCTGCCCCCAACTGTCCCAGGGCGCATCCCACAGGGCAGGGGGTGGGAAGGCGTTGGAGTGGGAGGGCTGGCAGTGGCTGGCAGGATCGCATCCGCAGCCCCTCAGTCACCGCCCCCCCCGGTGTACCAGCCCGCCTCCCGGCCGCACAGTGGCCCTGACAGGCAGGTGTGCCCTGTGCCCGGCCTGCACATACCTTGGGTCCGCGAAGGTGCTTCGTTTTCCAGGCACCCCGGGGGCAGCTACCCGGGGAAAGGCAGCGGGCAGGCTGTGAGGATGGCTCTCCAGGGCCCGGCACTGGCCTCCCCTGCCCTGGCGGTGGGGCACTGCTTAAGGCAGAGTGCACCTGGTCGGCTTCCCGACAGGCCCGGAGCCTCTGTCCTCCCTCCCACTGCGCCCGGGAAAGCTGCCACGTGCCCCTTGATGGCCTGCCAGGCCAGTCCAGGCTCTCCCAGCTGTGGGGTGGGGGTGAGGCTGGTAGCAGCCCCTACGAGGGTGCCCGATGCCCTCCCCTGCACCTCCCCGGAAGCAGTGGACCCCAGTTCACCTGCTCTCCCACACCCTGCCCGCCCCCAGCAAGCTTGCAGAGGAAAGAGCACAGACAGCCCTGAGCGTGGGACCAGGCAAGCAGGGCCCGGCCTGGTCACAGGAGGGGCCTGAGCCACAGCTGGGCCTGTCGTCCGCGCAGGCTCAGGAGGATGAGGGGGGCTGAGCAGCACGGCTAAGGGCCCGCCCCGGCTGCCTGCCCGGCCCGCCCCATGCCCCAGGGTCTCTGGCAGAGGCAGAGGGAGAACCCTGCAGCCCGCCCCCTCTGCAGCCCGGTTCTGCCCCAACCCCCAGGGTGTACTGCTGGCGGCCACCCAGCGTCCCGGTCCTTTGGCCCCGGCTGGTAGTTACACAGGCGCCTCCTCCCTCCCTAGCAGCGGCCCAGCAGGAAGCAGGGCTGCCCCCGCCCCCCTGGCCCACTGCCAGTCCTCTGCCGCTGCCCAGAATCCAGGCAGGGACTAACTGTTACCTCCGGGGTTCATGACCAGCAGCAGGGCAGCAGCCAGGGGGCAGCTCCATGGGCGAGGGCAGCACTGCAGGGTTGTGATCCCTGATGCCCACCAACCTGGGTGACCTGGCCTGCGGCATGCCCTTCCCAGCCCTGCCTCCCCATCTTGCAAACAGGGGTCTCAGGTTGTTGGGGAACCTGAGCACCCTGCTTGCCTAAGCCTGCCCGAGCTCCCCACACCAGGCCAGGACAGGTGGGCAGAAGGTGCTGGGTAAGCTGGCTGTGCCAAGACACCCCCCACCCCCGTCCCCTGGCACGGAGGGCCGTGGCAGAGCGTCTTAGCTCATACCAGAGTTTCCAGCCTTGGCTTGCTCACCCTGGGGCTCCGGGTCAGCCGCCCAGGGCCAGCACCCGTGTCCCCACCTGCCACAGCTTCCAAGTCCCTCCCTTGCCTGGCCAGACTGCCCTGAGCAAGCTGCACCCCCACCTCACAGCACTCGGGCCCGGGGGTGGGGATTCCTGCCTCCGCTCACACCAAGGTCCAGAGCGAAGCCAGCTTGTCTGAGGCCGCAGCGTGCTGGCCGGAGAGTCAGATCAGAAGCCTGCAGGCTGGCTCCCAGGAAGATGTCCCGAGGAAATCCAGAAAGAACAAATACACAGGGACCAGCAGATGACATAATGGTTACATAGCCGGACTCCCACATAGCTGACCACGGTTCGAGTCCTGGACCCAGTGGCTTAAAACTCATGCCAGGTGCGTGTACGTGCATGCCCAAAATCCCGAGAGAAGAATGAAGAAGGAATTGCAGCGTGGCTTCCCAACGGGGGTGATTTCTCATTTCCTGTCTCTGTCTCTCTCTGTCTCGCTGGTGCGTGCATGCGCCCTATAGCAAAAAGCTCTTTAAAGACAGACAGAAAGAAGGAAAGAGCAAGAGCGAGCCAGGACGCGGACCCCTAAACATCCAGTCAGCACAGGGTGACACGAGGTCGGTCCTCCTCGCGGTGGGTCGGAGGAAGCGGTATCGGGCCAGCAGGTGGCCTGGAGGGTCAGGAGGACGGTCCCACAGGACCAACTGCACCGTTCGAGTCCTGGACCTGGCAGCTTGAGAAACACGTAGGGAGCACATGGGAGCAGGGCCAGACCCAGGATCAAAATTGAGAAGGCAGGGTGTGGCCGTCACCCATGGGGAGGGACTTCTCACTGCCCCTCTCTCTCAGCAAGTGCACGCACCCTAGAGCAGACTACACAAAACAGAATCCAGAAAGAACAAGGACCTGGGACCAGCAGACGACGCAGTGCGTGGGGCCAGCAGGTGGCGTAGTGGTTAGGGTGCTGGACTCCTTCACGGTTGACCATGGTTCAAGGCCTAGACCTAGCAGCTTGAAAATCACGCCAGGCAGGCATGCGTGTGTGCCCAAGAAGCCAGGAAGAGAACTGGAGAAGGGACTGTGGCGTGGCCCTCTCCCTGGGGATGATGTCTCACTTCCCCTCTCTCTTTCTCCGTGTCTCCCTGGCAAGCACACAGGCCCTGTGGCAAAAACTAAAAGCAGAAAGCGTCGCCCGACGTTGCACTGAGGTTCCTGGCCACTCGTCTGGCTGCAGGTTCATCTGCCCTCCGCCTTTACTGAGTGCCTACTGCATACAGAGCATCGCTAGGGAGCCCAGAGATGCCCGAGACCCACCCCTGTCCTCAAGGGGCTCAGGAGACAGATTGGGGTGAGGCAGCCATGAGCCGGCTGAGATCGGGGTCCCTCCTGAGCTAGTTGTCTTTCCTTCGAGTGGGAAACCCAGGAGGACATCCTAGGGGAGGAAGCCGGGGTTCTGGGCCTGACCATGTGCTGTCACACTCTCAGGCCCCTTGTCCTCAGAGGAAAGTTGGCCCCACCAATTCAAGGCTTCCTGGGGGAGGGGTGGCCCAGGGCAGGAGTGACGCCCAGTCCCTCTCTGGAAATGCAGCCTGGCCCAGCAGCCTGCGGTTAAGACCGTGCCCTCCTGTCAGATGACAAGGAACAGGGCCAGGCCATAGCCTCCCCCAAACCCTGGACTACGGGTGCCGGGCGAGGGACCCTGAGGTGACTGCAGCCCAAGGTGATCCTGGCCCTGCTGTTGCAAAATCATTGAGAACCCGCAGGCAGCACCATCGCCCAGACTGGAGCCAGGGGTGGTGGTGAAGGGCCAGGCCTGGCCACAGCTCAGCCTGGCTGGACTGTCGCTGACCTGGCTCACCGAAGCCAGGCTCAGGCCTGGAGGAGGGAGAGGGGAAGGACAGCAGTCTCCCCGTGCTGGACAGCACAGCGCTGGAGGGGGCCCGGCTGCGCCAGGGAGGCAGAGACAGCGTCCTGCCGCCCCCTGCTCAGTCTGGGGCTGGTCTCGTTACCCGTTACCGCTCCCTGAGAAGCTGGTGCTTCGCCCCTGCTGTGCATGTCCCTGCCCCTGCTCTCACGCTGGAAAGGGCGTGGACGGAAGCCGTGGCTGACTGTACTCAGGGCTGCCTGGGGCCCACACGCTCCCTGGCCTCCAGACCCGCAGACCCAGGCAGGGACCGAGGCAGACTCGCCCTCTGCCCGCGGTCTGCACACCCGAGGGCCATCCAGAGTCTGCTCGCTCAGGCTGGCCCTCTCCGCAGGCCCGGCCAGTCCTCTTCCCTCCTGCCAGCCGGGCTCCTGGGCCAGGGGGATGTCCAAAGGGCAGTCTGACTGGGTAGATGCCCAGGGTGGGACCCAGGGTGGCGTGGGGGCGGTTCCTCTGCCGGCACTCTGTGCGGCTGGGAAACGGGACATGAACTAGCGACAAACCACGCGAAACGAGCACTCATCACGCCCCTAACCGAGGGAAAGCGGTGCCTGCCCGTCACCTCTGAGCAGCGCCTGCGTGAGGACCTCCCCGGGCAGGCAGCAGACGGGCCGAGGGCTCTCTGTGACCTCAGACGGGACAGGAAGGCTGCGCTCCGTGGTAGAGATGAGAAAATCAAAGCAGAACACAACCAAGGAGACTCCCCGACCCGGGACATTAGAGCAGTTCAAGGACTGAATCCACTGTTGAGGCATCGAGAACCTTCCAGAAGTTCCCGTGAGTCTCAGAGGAGAGTGGGCTTTATGTCCCCCACCAGCGTGGAAAGGGTGGCTTCCCAGGGTGAGTGGAGGGCCCTCTTGAAAAGCAAGGGGGCATCCCTGACATGCCGAGGGCCCTGGGTGCAGGTGTCCCCAGGAACGAGCAGCTCAAGTGGCCTCCCCATCCCCACAGAGCAGATGTGGGCAGCTGCGGGCCCAGGCTCTGGAGCCCAGGAAGGTGCTCGACTCCCAGGTATCCAACCAGTCTGTGACTGGTTTCCAGGGTCACTTGTGAGACCAACACGGAGAATGGGCTGGCTGGTGCCAAGTGTGCTTCATGAATCGTTGTGGGTGCCCCCTCTGTCCAAGGACAACACAGAGCGCGAGGCTGCGGAGGGAGTCCCTGCCCACAGTGGGCAGCGTGGGCTGTCCTCAGGCCCTGGTGCAGGTCTCCTGGCCCCACAGGGTGCTCAGATGGAAGGGTGGAGAAGCAGCTGAGGGCAGAAGCCATGGTTTGAGCTCAGCCAGGGTCTAAGCCCCAGCACCACCCAAAGCCTTCGCTGGCAGCCAAACCTGCAGGGCCCTCATGCCGGCCGCACGGGGGCAGGAGGTGCCCAGGGACAGTCATGCCATTGCCCTGGAGATTGCTTACAGAAGTCTGTGTCTCCACGCTTCCCTGGAAAGGCTAGGATGCTCTGGCCACTCCGGCCCATTGCCAGTGTGGGACGTGTAGGTGGGGTTCACCTGGTCCAGCTGGCCACAGTCCCACCCTGCTGCGGGGACTCTGTGCTGTATCTGGGAGCTTTGCTTCCTGATTCCCACTCCCCTTTCTGAAAAAGAATTATTTTATTTAGTATTACTGTTTAATTTGACCAAAGACAGAGAGGGAAAGTGAGAAAGCAAGCTGTCAGTCACAGAGCGCGAGGCTGCGGAGGGAGTCCCTGCCCACAGTGGGCAGCGTGGGCTGTCCTCAGGCCCTGGTGCAGGTCTCCTGGCCCCACAGGGTGCTCAGATGGAAGGGTGGAGAAGCAGCTGAGGGCAGAAGCCATGGTTTGAGCTCAGCCAGGGTCTAAGCCCCAGCACCACCCAAAGCCTTCGCTGGCAGCCAAACCTGCAGGGCCCTCATGCCGGCCGCACGGGGGCAGGAGGTGCCCAGGGACAGTCATGCCATTGCCCTGGAGATTGCTTACAGAAGTCTGTGTCTCCACGCTTCCCTGGAAAGGCTAGGATGCTCTGGCCACTCCGGCCCATTGCCAGTGTGGGACGTGTAGGTGGGGTTCACCTGGTCCAGCTGGCCACAGTCCCACCCTGCTGCGGGGACTCTGTGCTGTATCTGGGAGCTTTGCTTCCTGATTCCCACTCCCCTTTCTGAAAAAGAATTATTTTATTTAGTATTACTGTTTAATTTGACCAAAGACAGAGAGGGAAAGTGAGAAAGCAAGCTGTCAGTCTGGGACTTGAACCACAGTCAGCCTTGTGGGATTCCAGCCCCTTAACCACCTGCCAGCCATTCCTTACCCCTCCAGGACTCTGACTTGCCTGTAGGTCAGGCACCAGGGCAGGAGGACCCGTGACAGAGACCCCTGGTGGTGGCTCAGCAGTCTGCAGGTCTTACAGTGAACGGAGGGCGGATGCTCAGTTTGGGCCCTAGGCCTGAATGCCCTTCCAGGTGTTTCCATGAGGGGCAGCATCCCATCATGGGTGGGCAAGAAACACTGCCTGTGGTGGCCATGACCCC